TCTGCTATTTACCAATCCTGTGACCTTGGTCTAGTTATTTAACATCTCCAGCTCTGTTCTTCTATAAAATAGTGATAATGATAGTATCCATATATAGGATTGTAAGGACTAAATAAATTAATTCATGCAAGGCCACAGAGCAGCATATCCTAAGTACACAGTAAATATGAGTTATTAGCCCTAAGATTGTGTTTCTCTTTCTAGGGATATACAGTTATACTTGCAAAGATGTTACTTTCCCGGGTGTTTACATGAGAAAGAAATCCAAATATGCTGATCCTCAATTTCTTTGTGCTTCAGAAAAAAACATAAACTCCCTCTTTCCCCCAAATTACAAGTATATGAAAATTAAAATACTTTCCCATGACTACATGTTAAAATATGTATTATATCTTTCTAGTAAAAAGTGACCCAAGAAGAGGCAAGGGAGACAAAGGACATTCCATTTAAAGATTGAGGAGGTAGGTTTAATTCTGATCCAAGTGTGTCCTGGATTCATCTATAAATAAAGTGACATTGTGTATATAGAATTGTGCAATCTTTCAGTATTATCCTTTATATTTTTTTGAATATTTGCTTCATATCTGAAGGAAAAGTTCAACCTCCTATTCATACTGCTACTCTGATATATCTATACCACTTCATTATTGTTCACAACATTAGTGATTACCACTGTGCCCAAACATCAATTAATACTTGATGATGATTATGAGGTTGATGTAGCCAAACAGAAGAGCCTTTGATTATTCTCTGTCTCTGTGACAGATCATCAGGGTATATCTAAATAATACTCTAAGACATCCATTTGAAATGAATTATCTAATAATCACTAAAACCAACTTTTCACTGGATTTACTGAAAATATTTGTCTCACATATGAGGTATAGCCTAAAGATTTTGAAGATTCCAGGCTTCCCTCCTCTGTATAAATTAATAATAGTATAATCACCCCTCCTATTTATTTATATTTAAAATACCGGACATGAAAATTTAATCCTTGCTTTCAATAAGTTACATCTCTTTATACTGATGTACCCCCCATTTTTCTACTTGTATCTCAATAACTTTGTGATTTGTTTTTCCTGGGTGATGTTAATAGCTAAATTCCAGTTGATTAATTCAAACAAAGGGTTTGATGACAAGTAAAGATGAGATCCACAGGACTTGAAATCCTGCCTTCAGCAATTTTTCTCTTGACTCCTGGGATCCAATAGAAGGCAGCGCCATTTCATAAAGCATTGTTAATTGTTAAATAATACTATAAATACACATTTAAATTAAATTTTCAAAGAGGAAAAATCAACCATAATGAGAATGATACATACTTATATTTACCCAATCTCCTCCAATGTATTTCCTTTATCTCCCAAAAGAAAAGTAAACAAATCCTATGAAATCTGTCAGAGGTGCCACAAAGGACATTTGGCTTCTGCCTTTAAAAGCACTGATCTTCAGAGAGGGTTGTAGCTGACTGTAACTCAAAGGATTCCTTGCTCAGCGACTAATGCCATTGCTGCTGAACATCATGTGCTTTACCCTTATAACAGAGGATTCAAAGATAAAGAGGTCTCAGTAATTTACTATTCTTTTATGAACACTTTTAACTGAGTAAAACAATGTGTCACTACATATATCATTGGAAGAATTTATCAGAATCATTTGCTTATAATAAAATAACCTTTAACACCATAAAAGCTCACTAAGATGGAGGAGGGAAAGATGTAAAATGAAGCAAGAGGGAGAAAAGAAAGGAAGACGGATGAAAAGAAAACAGATGATGATGACAGGAAGACACGATAATATTTTAATGCTAATAGTGTGTCTATCTTTGTTCTCTTACCAGGCTTGGCAGGGAAAATTAACAACAGAGTAGAGAAAAGCATGATATGTTAAATTACTAAGGCTATGTCAGATAAAGCGTTTGTCTGATGTTTCCATCTCTGCTGGAAGGCTAGTTTAAAACTGTGTGACCTGTTCTTCAGAGAGTCAAAGATAAACTCCAGCAATTGTGTAATTCCTCCCACTGATAGAGATAAATATGTTCATATTTTTCCCAGCTAATCCTCCTTGTTGGATGATAACATAAGGCTGCATCCACATGACATAAAGAGATTCAAGATATCTGGACAAGCATCTGGCCGTCTGTAATACTGTCTGTCGACTGGGTCATGTTGTTATCAGAGGTCCTTTCAGATTAAATAAATTTGCTGAAAGTTAATGCAAAATGAGTACACAAACCTGTATCATCTAAGTAAGTGATACCAATCCTTTTGGCAAAAAAAGAGTTGTATGGGAAAGTCTTTTAAATGCTAGTGTCCAGGTATCATGAAAACCAAATTAAATCAGTCTCTCTAAAGTTTGGTTGTCAGTATTTTTTTAGAGTTTCCTAAGTGATTCTGAAAGAGCAACTATATTTTTATTTCTTTATTTATTTATTTTACATCATTGTTCATTTTTAAACAATATTTGTTTCCCCCCACCCCCACAGGTTCCCCATAGAGTTTCCTTCATCAATGCACCTGTGCACCATCACCTCAGTCCCCTGTGCTCCTCCCTCCCTCCCTCAGATCCCTCTCCCACCTCCTCCCCTGCAGGATGTCTCTGATTTATAATTGTCTGTTTTTGTTTTGTTGTGTTTTGTACTGTTATTATTTTTTTACACTGATGTCTTATTTGGTTCCCCTACATTCCTAAGAGCAACTATATTTTTAAGAACCACTGTCTTCAAGCTTTTGAGACTGGCAAGTATGCTTGAATCTGGTAAGATTTCAAGCAAATATCAGTTTTTCCTAAATGTGAAAAAAAGACAGGGCATTTTGAGTAGCTTAGAGATTGAATTAAAAATATGTGTTATAAGAGATATTAATACCAAACAGCAAAAGTAATGGGATTGTGGATGAATCCTGTGAAACTGTGAAAACACAAAATTAAACTCAATTCAGCAAATGATTATTTGAATAACTATTGTGCAGTAGGTTCTAACTTGGTTGAACGATAAATATGTAAATAAGGTAATCTCACTAGATAGGATTACTTGACAAGGATAGTGACTAACATTTACATGTACCTCCTGAGCAGGAGATGAAATGAGCAAATGGTAAGGAAAACACTTTGGAAGTAAGAATCATTAGCTCTTAAATGAAAAACACTGAAAACTGACTTTCCTGTAGTGGAATACTTAAAAATTAAGTAGGGCTTCCCCAGTGACACAGTGGGTTGAGCACAGCGCTGTAAAGCTGTCTGCAACTTCTGTAGCGCAGGTTCGATTCCCAGCCAACCAGGGAGAAACCCACATGGCGTGGCAGACCTCGCCTGTCTCACCCACTGCTCCCCTCAGCAGTGTTTTCAGTCTGTCTGCCTGTTCTGCTCCTTGCTCTGTCTCTGATGAATTCTCTCACCCTTCTGTGCCTCTGACCTGTACCCCAGCTCTTGTATAAATAAAAATAAATCTTTAAAAAAAAATAAAAAATAAAAATTAAGTATACTCACATCTGTCTGATGGAGCCAATGAATTACAGTTTTAACATCCTATGATTTAAATGTGGTTTCTGTTTGTGAGTTTCTCTGTTTTCTCCAGATCCACCTCTTCACTTCAGCATCCTCAGTACATTTTAGTCTTAACCAGAGCTAATGGGATTTTTTGTTTCATACTTTCTGTATTTACCAAGAAGAATGTACAGTATATGATAAAATAATATTTTAAAAAGTGCTTGAAGAACCTAACCTATGGTTTACTTCACCTATAAATTACTTTCTTTCATAAGTTTCATTAATGAAATCTTAATTGCAATTGAAGTACTTTTTCTTTCCTTTCTTTAAGGAGTTCAAAGTATCTTATAGATGAAATAGGTTCTATGATGTTCTCATAGAAAGGATTATAGATGTTTCATTTGATCTAATTATGTGCTCTCTTCTCACTATTCACTCATTAAAAAATACTGAACTACTAATGCCTACCAGAAACTGTAAAAGGTGTTAAAAATATCATCATGAAATAAATATTTTAGTAAGAAGAAAAAGATTATAAACACATATATAAATGACATCAATTGGAAATAAATCCAATGATTAAACAGAGTACAGGGATTGAAAGTTAGGAGTTGTTATTTTAATTCAGATGAACAAAGAAGGCCTCAATGAAATTGTGACTTTTTGGGCATAATGCTGAAAAAAAGTGAGAAGGCAACCAAATACCCTTCTGCCAGATATTTCAGAAGATATCTAGAAGAAACAGTAAGTTTCTGAGGCAGTGGAATGGCTGGGGTATTGGAGAAAACGTGAAGTAAAAAGGCTGGAGAGATATAAGCAAGGCTAGAAGATGTGTGTGGTGGATGGAGTCAGATGATTCTCTTCTCAAACTTACTTACTTGTGATAAAAATCAGTTTTCTCTCCTAAACTCTGCTCTCCCCTATAATTAGGTATTTGAGATAAACGTAGAGTTTCTAATGTTAATTTGATAGAATCTGAATAGAGGGGGAATTCTGTCCTGCCTGCCTGACAGGTAGAATTCTAGGCATTCAACTCTAAGATTTTGTAAGTATAAACTTCATGTTTTGCTGCCAAATTACACTTAGAGGTGTCCACAGAAGTGGAATCTATACACAGCCTTTCCTCTTTCACCTCAGACACTTTTATCTGTGAGTCCTGGGATGGAGGCTGGGAGTTGTTAACGTTTTCTAATAAGCTGTGCCCCTTTTAAGGTCTGAAAGTTATTAGCCCCCTTCCCAACAGGATGATAGTTGTAATTTTAAGTATCTTTTGATGAAAAAAAAAAAAACATAAAAAGTTGCTATTTCAATAAAAAAAAAAAAAAGAACCTGACAAGAAACAAGTCACTCTCAAGTAGGATTGCTAAAACGATTTAAGTACGGGAATATTTATACAGGAATGGCCATCCAGCAGATAGTAAGAGTAGGAAAACATTTCCTGGACAGTGAGTGGAGGAAATGATGCTACAAAGTATAGGAGAGGCAGCAGTTGAGCAAGGGAAGTTGCTCACCAGGAGCTGTCGTGGTGGATTAGGCAGCCTCTACCAGATTAGAGACCCAGAGAAGAGGGAGTAGGTAAAGTAATGCCCAGCCTCTCTGAATTCCCTCTCTCCTTTCTTCTCTCAGTGTCTCCCATTGGCCCAATTCACCTAGAAACCAGAATACAAAGATATTTAGTAAGTTACCTTACAGAATAAAACATCTCAGGCACAGAAAGGAGTAAAAAGTGAATTTGGGATAAGAGAGGCAAACAGAGGGAAAAACAGCCCACACTATGACTGTATTTCATTTTTATTTTATTGACTTTTAGTCCAGAAGCAATTATAGCAACAATGGTTAACAAGAATCAAACATGTAAGTATGTTAAAACTTGTAAGGAGTCCATAAGATAATCTTCTGTTCATTAAAAATTGAAATGCCTGAAAGAACATGGAGAGATCTGGAGTACATTACAAGTGAAATAAATCAGAAGAAGAAAGACAAATACTAGATGGCTTCACTCATGTGGAATATAGGGAGGGGGGGATGGATCAGAAAACACTTGCTAATAAAAAAGACCCAATGGTTTTACTCCTCCCCCCCTCTAAAATATAACTTTAAAGTTACAAGGAAACAAAGATTATCACTAAACCTCTCACTTTACTAAGATCATTTTACTGAGAAGACCCTGAGGCTAGCAGAGATTGAGTATCTGGCTTCTATAGGGCAAAGCTAATTACTAATCAAGTCAATTTTAGGTTAGCCTTCCTAGAAGCAGAGCCTGAGACAAAAATTCTGGATCATGGAATTTATTGAGGACATGCTCTCAGGAGACACCTGTAACTGAATGAGGAATGCAAGGAAGGGAAAAGAGCCAGAAAAGGATGTGACACAGGTAAGTCTAGGCTGGACCTGATCCATGAGGATGCTGGAGCATAGCATACTATGGAATTGATCCCAACTCAGGCAAACAGCTGGATTTTTTTACACATTGGTTGTTGGAGGTGGGCGATGGGAAGGTGGGAGACTGGAAGGTGGGAGGTGGGGGTAACTTCTAGAATGAGGCAGTTCTCAGGACCTGCTATGAGTCATTTGCAGTCAATCCTGAAATTGAGGGATAGTGCACCAGACCAATATCTTCCACTGGACCAAATAGCATCTTCCATGGAACCAAGATATGAATTCAGGTTCAGACTCCTATATACCTTCTTTTCAGTAGGTCACTTTTTTCAGATCTTCCCTTTTTCTCTCCTACTCAAGATACCAAAACATAACCTTTCATGATTTCTTTCATCTTATCCTAATAATAAGCAAAGACAATAAACTACCAAATTAATTTTCCCCTCCTGCCCTTTTGTACCTTCCACTGCTTTGTGAGAAGTGGGAAGTGGTGTTTACTTTCTCTAAACGACATCAGGGCACTGTTTGGGCATGCTGCACAACTTTGTGTCCTTGAATAAATATGAATTTTGGTATTGAATCAATAGTAATAAATCTAAAATTCACTTTCTCAGTAGCCAATCTATCACTTCTTTAACAAAAAGCTCCAAACAAAGTATTTAAAGCAAACAAATACACTTAAAAAACAGCACTCTAAAAATGTACAGATAATGAAAATAGGAATCTAGACTACAAGGGAAGATTCAAGTGATCAAACACTTTAAATAATAAAAGTCTGTGAATTCAAGCTGGCAGACCTAAGTAGGTCACCTAATCAGTTGTTTACTGTGCTGTTGGATATGAAGTATGATAAAGTAAGCAGGGAAGAAACTATATGAGTCCCATCTCCATAACAACAGAGAAGAGAACAATTACAAGAGACCCTGGCCAGCCACCTCCACAAAAGCAGTTTTAACCTCAGAGCAATGAGGAGTGACATAGCAAAGTACTGCTGATGTCTGAATAACACAGGGCATTGAGCCAGGTAAAAACTTTCCCTTTCCAAAGGAGTGAAGACTTTAATCTATAGACAGATTTGCTGAACCAGCTAAAACCTTGAAAGGACCAGCTAACTACTGCAAGAATAATGTAAGACAGTAGATAATTTAAAAGTATTTAAATAGAATAAATACTATATTAAAGATATAGTGTAATATATACTAGTGAGTTTTAAGAGACGGGTGCATTTGCAAAATACAAGTATTATCAAGGATGGATCTTGTCTCAGAGATTGTATAATAAATGACAGCTTTTTACTAAGGTTTAAATAACATTTTGAAATTAGCTTTACTTCCTTTTCTCTATCTTGCTGAACTATGAAAAAATTAAACCTTTAACTCTATTTTTTATGGTTCAATTGGTCTCTCTAGTTTTCCAGCATCTTTAACAAATTTTTCTAAGTAACCTAGACAATTTTCTCATGCTTACTATTTTTTATGGGAAAAGAAGAATTGCTTGGGAGATTTGTTTTACAGAGATTTTTTTTTTTTGTCAGTGAACTAGAAATTTTGTCTTTCAGCAAGAAATCACCCATTGCATGGTATCAAACTAGAAATCAACCGTAAAAGAGAAGCAGAAAAAGTCTCTATGTGTGGAGACTAATGAACACACCACTGAATGACTATAGGGCAAATGAGGAAATCAAAGAACAAATTTAAAAATAGCTGGAGAAAAATGAAAATGAGGACACAACCTTCCAGAAACTATGGGACATAACAAAAGCTTTACCAAGTGGAAAATGTTTAGCAATACAGGCCCAAGTCAAGAAACAAGAATGAGCTCAAATAAAGCAATCACTTTAAGTAACTAAAAAAAGTAAAAGAAAGAAAAAGATACAAACAAGGGCAGTGGAAGGAAGTAAATTATAAAATTTAGAGCAGAAATAAATGAAATAGAAATTTTTTAAAAATCTTAAGAGTAATAAAACCAAAAATTGGTTCTTTGGAAATAATCAACAAAATAAACAAATTTGTATCTAGATGTACAAAGAAAAAAGGGAGAAAATTCAAATAAATAGAATAAGAAACAAAAAGGGAGTTACAATAGATATCTCAGAAAGAGGATCTTAAGAGGTTACTATCAAGATTTTTTGTGCTGGTAGTTGTATAGCCTACAAGAGATGGACAGATTCTTAGAAATATGCAACTATCTGAGCCTGAATCAGGAAGAAATAGAAAACCTGAACAGACAAATTACAAGCAAGGAAATTTAAGCAGTAATCAAAGGTTTACCAAGAAACAAAGGTCCGGAACTAGATGGTTTCAGTAGTGAGTTCTACCAAGCCTTCACAGATAAGTAAATATCTATCCTTTTCAACACATATTAAGTCAAAAATCACCACCATACCAAAATCAAACAAAGACACCACCTGAAAAAGAATATAATTGACCAATTTCCCCAATGAACATAGATAAAAAAAAGTCTAAACAAAATCTTAACAAACCAACTTCAACACACACCATGACCAAATGGGATTTATTCCAGAGACACAAGGATGGTTCAACTCTGAAAATAAATCAACATAATTCACCACATCTCAAAAGGAAAGATAAAAATCATATCATCATATCAATGGATCGTGAGAAAAGCATTTGATAAGATTCAGCATCCATTTATTATAAAAACCCTCAATGAACTGGGGATAGATGGAACATACCTCAACAAAATATAGGTCATATGTGACAAACTCACAGTCAGTATTCTCAATGGAAAAAAAACAAAAGGCTTTTCAACTAAGACCTGGTACAAGACAAGGATGCCCACTTTCACCGCTATTATTCAATACAGTATTGGAAGTCCTAGCTAGAGCAATCAGGCAAAAGAACCCAAACTGGAAAAGAAGTAAAGCAATCATTATTTGCAGAAAACATGATAATATACATAGAAAACACTATAGATGACACAAAAAAGCTTATGGAAAGAATAGATCAGTTCAGCAAAGTGACAGCTTACAAAATCAATATACAAAGCCAGTTGCCTTCCTATATGTAAACAGTGAGCTAGAAGAGGAAAAAATCAAGAAAACAATCCTACTTAAAATGACATCAAAAAGAATTAAACACTGAGGATAAACTTAACAAAGAACATTCTTAGTGGGAATATAGACTGATCTAGACCATATGGAAAACAGTATGGAGGTTTCTCAAAATAATAAAAATGAATCTACCATTTAGCCCAGCAATTCCACTCTTAAGTATTATCTGACAAATACAAAAATACTAATTTGAAGGAATATATGCTCTCCTGTGTTCATTACAGCACTGTTTACAATAGTCAAGCTATGGAAATAACCCTAACTACCCAAAGACAGATGAGTGAATTACGAAGATAAGTTGTATATATACACAATGAAATACTACTCAACTATAAAAAATGACAGACTCATTTGCTTCAGCATGGATAGAACTGCAGGGGATTATGCTAAGCAAAGGAAATTGAAGGAAGAAAGGCAAATACAAGATACAAGATGGTGTCACTTATATGAAGAATATGGAGAAGCAAAATAAATGGTCATATAAAGCCAAGCTAATAACAAACCCAAGAAATACGACTGTAGAACTGAGGCTACCAGAGGGGAATGGGGAGGCTGGAAAGTAAAGTGGGGAGATTGCACATGGACTATGGTGGAGGACTACAAGTGGGTGTTGTATGGTGGGTATATACCTGGAGGGTGTGATCCTATGCTTCTAAATCATAAACAATACTGTATACCAATATTGCCTCAATAAAAACATATAGAAAGTATGTTAAAATGCTGAGTTAAGGACCTCCCCTGGTGGCACAGCGGTTGAGCGCTGGGCTGCGAAGCTGCCCGCAGCCTCTGCAGCACCAGTTAGATCCCCAGCCGCAGGCGAGGGTCCCACATGGTGCAACAGACCTCTCCTGCCGCGCCTGCTGCTCCCCTCAGTAGTGTATTTCGTTGGTCTGCCTGTTCTGTTCCCCGCTCTGGCTCTGGTTAATTCTCTCACCCTCCAGCGCTTCTGACTGTACCCAGTGCTTATATAAATAAATAAATCTTTTTTTAAAAATGCTGAGTTAAGTAAAACAAACAAACAAAATATCTTGGTGCAACAGACCTTTAGTGTTAGATGTGATTACCTTGAGTGAATCATTTTAGAGATGCAGATAAAAGACCTAAATTCCTTATCTGGTCCTTCAGAGCAGAAGAATGACCACAGGAGAAATTTTAGAATCCATAGTAAATAGAAGAAATTCTGAGCCAAAAATGGCC